GGTTATAGCCTTTCCCCTTTGCAGCAACGCAGCAATTTTGCTCTGATCAGAAAGTTCTCATCGGCCCAGAGAGAAACGTCTTTCTTCCCTTCTCAAAACCGATGGCAGCGTGAGGGTAACCTTGGCAGAATCACTCTCCTCTCAGCAGCCCTAGTCCAAATTTTTTCCTCCCTTGCAGAATAAATTCGGTTTTTAATGGCGTAATTGTTACCGAGCGTAATTCTTAGAGGCAAGCTATGGGACAGCTGTTCTGGGCAGAGTGGAAAGCTTTTTTTAAACTCTACAGCGACACCCACTTCCTGGCAATGAATTATTATTATTATTATTTGTTTTCCCTCCCAAAAGGAAGTGATTGAAAAATCAAAATGTCCCACAGGGTGGTGATGCTGGATGGGAAAGATACAAAGCCACCTTCTGGCCTCCTGATCCAACTTTCTCATCCGCAATGCAAAACCCATAAATAGGTAAAATGAAACATACGGGTTTGAAGTTGTAGCAGATGGCCTTGTGGATCACAATTGTCACTGATGGTTGATGAATGTCCCCAAGGTGCGTTTTTCAGGAGGCCAACTGGACTTGCTTTCTCTTTCCTTGAAGACATTTCGCTTCTCGTCCAAGAAGCTTCATCGGTTTCTGATTGAACGGGAGGGCTTCTTGGACGAGAAGCAAAACGCCTTCGAGGAAAAACGAAGAAAGTCCAGTTGCCTCTTGAAAAAAAGCAACTTTGGGACAACCATGACCTGGATGATGGAGAATCTCATGGACAATTAGGATGGAATGAAAAGTAAGACCTTGATAAGCTAGGAGGTGAATATTCCAGGCTATGTATCTCATTTCGTTAGATGCCATCTCAAGTATGGTGTCCAGTTCTGGAGAACATACTTGAAGAAGAATCTAGAGAAGCTGGAATAAGTCAAGAGATAGTCAACAAGGGTCTTGAGGGAACCATTAACTACATCGTATGAAGATGACACTGAAAGAGCTGGGGAAGTTTAAGGTGGAGAAGAGAGGACTAAGGCTGAAGATACAAGTAGTTTTCAAAGAAATGAAAGGATGTCTTTTGATGAGAGTCAAGATCTGTTTCTGTTGTTCCAGAATAGGACACAGAACAATAGCTATAAAGGAAACAGGAAAGCAGATTCCAGTTGAATTTTAGGAGGAAAAATCACTGACTTTAAGGGATGGAGTTCATCTTTGTTTCAAGATCATTGAGCTAGTCCTATCCAAAGACATTTTCATGGTCGTGTGCCAGCATGATGTCATGGAGCCCTGTCACCAGTGTCAAAGTCACCCGTGGGCTTTCATGCCTTAGGTGGGACTAGAACTCACAGTCTCCTGGTGATGGGGGCAAAGTCAACAATTCTGAATCTTTTTCTTGAACACCAAACAGATTAGGCAACTATGTACACACTGTCCTGACCTCTTAAAGAAAAAAGGCAGCATATGGGACATAATAAACTGTATTCAGGATATATATATATATTATATAGATATATATAAATTCAATGGTTATGAATGAAAAAAAAAAGCTTAAACAAATGTCAATGGCAAAGATCCAAAGATTATAACATTGGTTCCCCCTTACCCTTCTATTGACATGGTCCTCTGGATATTCACGATGGGAGGCTGGGTTACAGAACTATGCCTGGAATGACTGCATGGAAAGGAAAAGGAACAGGAAAAGGGAAAAGGAAAGGAATTAATAAAAGTAGCATGAAGTGGGGTTTTTTTTGCGCATGGAGGTTCTTGGTCTTATTGCAACCAAAGTGGTTGGATGGATAATCTCAAATAGCAGGTAGTTGTAGATCCCATATGGATGCACCTAGAATTACTGTGCATCCAATGAGATTGAAGAGAACAAGAAACATAAAATAGGGCCATGGCAGTTGAGGTTGAGGTTCTGACATAATGCAAGTCAAAGAACTCTTTTGGGGAAATAGGATGTGCATGTTTGATGTCTTGACCATGAAAATGGATACCTTTGGCATTACTTTTCCATCTGGAATGTACAGAGATGGATTATCAAACATGCCAATTTATGGAATAACCATCCACCTGCCCACTCATCCATCCATCCATCCACCAACTCATCCATCCATCAATTTAGCCATCCATTGCTTTATCTACTCACCCACCCATCCATGCAACCATCCACCCATCTATGCATCCATCCATTCCTCCATCTATCCACCCATACACCCACCCATGCATCCATCCATCCATCCATTCCTCCTTCCTTCCTTCCTTCCTTCACCCATATTTCCACCCACCCATGCACCCATCCATTCCTCCCTCCCTCCTTCCTTCATCCACCCACCCACCCACCCACCCATGCATCCATCCATCCATCCATCCATTCTTCCCTCCCTCCCTCCCTCCCTCCCTCCCTCCCTCCTTCCTTCCTTCCATCTACCCACTCACCCATGCACCCATCTAACTACCTCCCACCCATCCACCCATCCACCCATCCATCCATGCAACCATCAACCCATCTATGCATCCATTCATTCCTACATCTATCCACCCACCCACCCATTAATCCATTCCTCCCTCCCTCCCTTCCATCCATCCATCCACCCACATATCCTTTCATCCACCCATCCACCACTCCACCCACTCACTCATGCATCCTTCTAACCACCTATCCTTCCTTCCTTCCTTCCTTCCTTCCTTCCTTCCTTCCTTCCTTCCTTCCTTCCTTCCATCCATCCATCTACCCACCTAGTCATCCACCCACCCACCCATCCATCCACACATACATACATCTAACCACCCACCCATCCATCCATCCATCCATCCATCCATCCATCCATCCGCCCCTGCTTTCTAAAGGAACAAACTGCAATATTTTAGCTCATTCTAACTCTTATCTAAGCATTCTGGCCAAACCTCTCCAGCCTGCCAAGTACATGGACAGGAAACCAGTAATAGGGCTGTAGACAAGACTGGGAAGAACAACAAAGCAGCCAGGAAGGAGTGAATAGTAAACTGGTTCCATATTGTTCACTGGAAAACTGGATTTCTCTACCCAGTACAATGATTCAGAATGGCGCTTCAATTGAGGGACGTTTTACTGTATCCCTTAACTGTAGCAGCATTTCAAACAGACCGTTATCCAGCGCCCAGGAATAAAAGAAGGCTTGCATCCAAGATCACCCTGCAATTTTACCTTGATGGCATGTATCAATTTATGAATCTGGAATATTTTTTAGAGCTTTCAGCACCTGAGTTATCTTTTTTTCCTCAAATCACTCCAAAGGGCGGACGGAATAAATGGGAGAGATGGAAAGTATAATACACCGCTACTCGGGTCCCATTATATTGCTTTCTGAGCGTCTTCCTTTTCCGAGTTCACACGATAATACGTTGAGCCCTACGCGAGTTATGTATACGTTGGATTTGTATAACATGCCAAGGCACACACAGGTAGTCCTCGACTTACAACCACCATTTGAGCCCAACATTTCTGGGGCTACGCAAGACAGTCGTGAAGTGGAACCTTGTCCCCATTTTACAACCGTTCTTGCCACTATGGTTGAGCGAATCTCTGTGGTTGTTCAGTTAATCACGTGGTTGCTCAGCGAATCTGGCTCCTCCCCATTGACTTTGCTCATCAGAAAGTCACAAAAGGGGATCACGTGACCTCGGGACAAGGCAACTGTCATAAGTACATGCCAGTTGCTTAATGTCTGAATTTTGATCGCATGTCCCTAAGGATGCTGCAACGGTCATAAAGTGTTTAAAAAATGGTCCTAAGTCACTCTTGGCAGTGCCGTTGTAACTTCCAATGGCCACTCAACAAATGGTTGTAAGGGGAGGACTACCTGAACACATAAAACCATTCCATTTAACACTCGTTGAAACTGGCATGAGCAAATGACTGCAACTTACCTGATGGAGCAGGTTGTGTGACTTTCACAATAAAGAACTTCTGGGCTGTATTTACCCAACCTGCTAGGCTAATTCCTTTGGAGTATTACGTATTCTATCAGCCCAGGGCATGTGGTTGTGTATGGTTCAAGAGATATATAAATGCAGGTTGTTCACTTCAATAATTGTCTGTTCTAAAAACTACAAATTGATGTCTTGTGTGCACCTGGCTTTACATTACTTTTATGCAAGAGGACTGACCTGGAATTCCTATCTAAGTCAGATTTCTTTTGATGAAGAGGGGGAAAAAAATAACATACAGTGGAACCTTGGTTCTCAACTGTTTTGAAAACCATCGAACTGGTTATTCAATGCATTTCAAGTCGAACATTTTTGTCCCAATACTCATCATTTGTTTGGTACTCAATGCAAAAGCTAGAACTTGTCGGTGTTGGCTGCCTTGTGACTTCATTATTCCATATGGGAAAAAAATTGTTTGGAAATTATCATTTGTGGTACTCATCCTGCCTCCTGGGATCAATTGATGAGGAGTACTGAGGTACCACTGTATTTTGGTGAAAGTCAGACTGAACTTCTGGTGGCTACATGGAGATGCTCGTGTTGTTATAGAGCATAGAACAGAATAATAAAGTTGGAAGGGACCTTGGAGGTCTTCTAGTCTAAGCAGGAGACCCTATACCATTCTGGACAAATGGTTGGGCAGTCTCTTCTTGAAAATGTCCAGTGGGGCCTCCATTGTCTTCTTCCACAATTTTTTTTTAAGAATTCCAAGTCTAATCTACAGCTTTAAAATGTCCCAATGGTTTCCCATCCAGGTTATTAACCAAGGTTGCTTTGCTTTTCAAATTCAGCCAAGTTCTACTCTTAGCAAAAAAATAATAATAATTGTGGATTCCTGAGGCCTTTTGAAAAAAATGTCAGAACCCCAGAAGCAAATTCTTCTCTTAAACACTCCTTCAGTCACCACATCTTCTTGCTGTATTCTAACACAGTGTAATCTCTCTCTTTCTCTCTCTCTCTCTCTCTCTCTCTCTCTCACTCTCTGACTCAAGTCAAATAGACAAATAATCAGCCACATGGAACTTTGAAATATTGGAGGAAACTTTGGCTTTATATTGCCTATCTCAGATGTAAAATATGTCACTTGAAGTTGCTTGCCCATCCTCGGTTCCTCATTTCATTAAAAAAAATAATGCTAGTTATTTTGAGATCTTTAGGGGGGGAAAAGCACGCACACTGATTAAACGCAAGTTGTCTTCAGGAGGGGGAGCAATTATAATTATATCTCTGGCAGAAAAGCCCTGATGGATCAGATTGGGTTCAATCTGCATATATGTAAATGGCATCACATCATGCCTAGAGTTACGATTCCGTGCAGATTAACAGCATGCTGAAACACAACTGTCTGTAAATATCAGAAAGAAACAGAAAACAAACAAACGACAGCCACCAGGAGAGAACGGAATACGGAAATAAAGGTGACGAATGAATGAACGGAAAATTAGCATGAACTAATGGGAATCGTAGGGAATCACCGCTCATATTCAAAAAAACCAAATTCCAACAGAATTCTACGCTAAGGCCCTAATTTCATTTTGGCACACCTCTGGAGTTGTGACGCAAACATATACCAGGAACTGCTCTTGAGATAAGTTGCTTATTGAATTGCAGGCAGAGGAAGAAAGCTCTGTTCTTTCCTTTAAGGCCTGGAAAGGGTAGTTGTATGAAATTCAAGAAGGCTTCATCCCAAGGTAAATTAATAAGAATTACGGTATTAAGGTTAGAATCCTATGTAGCGTGACTTCCCCTGCTCTGTTAATATCATCATCCTCATTTAATGATCCCATAATTCCTTGGGGCGTGGAGTCTGGGCAACTGAATGGAGCCGAGTGTTTACTGGCCGGATGCCCTTCCTGTCACCAATGTGGACTTATATTCAGCAGATATATTCTCATAGTGTGCCCAGAGAGAGAGAAATAACTGCCTCTACCTAGGATCGAACTCACAGCTTCCTGATTGTGAGGCGAAAGCTCCACCTCTAGGCCACTGCACCACGCTGCTCTGTGAATATACCAATCACCCTTCTCTAAAAGAGATCACTCTGTGCAAAGGGATCTGGGAACGTATAAGACTATAAAATAAGATTGAAAAAACCGCTCTCTAAAACACAGGGTGGAGTTGAATGGAATCATAGCGAGAGCAGGAGAATTGTAAGAGAAAAAGATGATTGATGAATGAATGGCTTCCTGTTTTATTCGGGGTCGGTGGGGAAGATACTAGTGAGCTGTGATAGATCACTAGGCAGGAGAAGGGAAGTCTTTTGATGATGGTTAGTTTCCTGCAGGTAACAGTAAGAAACCATCAATCTTTGGGAGGAACATTTAGAAGGAAAGAAAGCGCAAGCGTGTGTGATGCGCAATCCAAGAATCGACAACTCACGCTTTCCTGCTATCAAGAAACAGGCACCACTGTCTTCTTTGCAATGTTTAGCTGGTGCAATTAAGATGGATGCGAGGATGCTGTTTTGAATGCTGCTCTGAACAATGGGTGCAAACTTGCATGTTGGGTATCAGGCAGCTGGCGAGTTCTAGCCTCTCAACAGATGTCATGGTTGACTAACACTCTTCCTTCTGTTAAACAGTTTCCCTAGTTTGGTGATACCCCCTCAGCTGTTTTAGGCTTAACCACAACTGGAACGGTCCTCTTTCCACAACTCTTGGGAGCTGTATGAGAAATGGAAAAGACAGAATAAGGCTGAGCTTAGATCTAACTTGGAAAACAGAATAACAGCGCTGGAAGGGGCCTCGCTCAACCCCCTGATTAAGCAGGAAATCCTATATCATTGGAGACAATTGGCTGTCTAGTCTCTTTTTGAAAGCCTCTAGTGATGAAGCAAACTGTTCCACTGCTTCTATTGTTGTCTTCCGAGAAGAATGGACCCATGGATGACCCATTAGTTTCCTTTTTGTGGTCCTCTACCAATTGCTCCCAGAATAAGAGGCTGCTTTGTGTATTTTGCAAGGGTTGAGGAAATTAAGGAGGAAAAATGGCATCTACTTGTAGGTGCTCGAAGCATCGATTTTACATCTTAAAACGACCAGTTCAGCTCATCCAGTTTAATATTTGGCCATTGGGAATTCCGTACAATGACTGGCAGGCTTCTCAAGACATTGGAACATGGACATTCCTGATGTCAATCCACTTTTTAGAACAAAGTCTTCCAAAGAAACCTGTCACCCTGGATTGGTCACGCGTTTTTGTGACAGGAAGAGTGATGGCAGAAGACCAAATAGAAATATTATGGAGGAAAAGCAACAAAGATGATTCAGGGACTGGAGGCTAAAACATACGAATGGTTGCAGGAATTGGGTATGTCTAGTTTAATGAAAAGAGGGGGTGACATGATAGCAGTCTTCTGATATCTCAGGGGCTTCCAAAGAAGAGGGGGTGAACCTATTTTCCAAAGCACCTGAGGGTAGGACAAGAAGCAATAAATGGAAACTAATCAAAGAGAGGAGCAACCCAGAACTAAGGCAAATTCCCCGACAGCGAGAACAATTAATCAGTGGAACAGTTTGCTTTCAGAAGTTGCTTTCATCAATGGATGTTTTTAAGAGGAGATTGGACAGCCATTTGTCTGGAATTGTGTAAGGTCTCCTGCTTGAACTGGTGGCTGGACTAGAAGACCTCCAAGGTCACTTTCAATTCTGTTATTCTGGAAATAAATGTCAAGTGTCCAGCAAAAGACTTCTGGAAGCATGGCTTAAGACTTTGGTGGTGGCCTGCCTCATTTTTAACCTCCTCACGCTAGAAGACGTGAAGGTTTTCAAAATTACGTGCCCGTTCTCCATGAGAATGTCTTCATTGGCTCACTCCACATGCAGACACCTTACACGTTCAATTCCGTCTTCTATCAGCTAGGGTAGAAGGACTCCTTGGGAAGGAGCCAAAAGAGAAGCCTGCCCCCACCTAACAGGAGAATTAGAGATCTGTCAGAATTCATGAACTGGCAGGGACATGGTAACAGGGTCAGCCAATGAGAGCTGGATTAGAAACTGAAACTGAAGGCCACGTTCCTGAGTGCTGTGCTGAGAACTGAAATTAGTCTGCTCTGAGCTCTGAAGCTGAAAACTTGTCTGGGCTTGTCTGTAAAACTGAAACTATTCTCTTCTCTGCTTGTGTGACATTGGAAGAATCTACTATTGGTATTGTACATTTACCCATATGCTCTTACGTATATAAAGAAGTTAATGAATCCTGCTGAATCAGTCATCTGTGTGTGCTTTCTGGATTTGATTTCTGTAATAAACCCTAACAACATCCCATCTCTAACTGTGGTTATCTCTAGCTAAAAGACACTTTAATCCCAGCTAAAAGGTAAGGGAGATGGTGGGAGGGTTCTCACTCTGCCTGGGACTCTGGGAAAAAGCTTACTGGCTGGAAAGGAAGAAGCCATCATCGATATTAATATGATAAAACTATAAACGGAAGTAAAATGGAAGAAGGATACAAGCAAAGGGAATACATTAATTTTAAAAAAAACAACTACATTAATGGAAATAAGCCTGCATCAAAGCAAGTTAAAAACATTGCCTATACATAGCAATGGCCCTTGTTTATATGTCAGCTGTGACAGTGATGACAATAGCGGAAGCCCTCTGAAACCTACAGTAGATGAACATTAGCATTTTGGCAGGGTCTTTGGGAAGGCCATACTTCTCAATGTACCAGATCCATCTTCTCTTGGTCACATCTACCCGACCTACCAGAACAGGGAGATAAGGAATGCTGAGGAACCCCTTGTTGTGGTCCAGCAGGCAGCCTGCGGAGCTGGCAGCAGAGTCGGACAGTGGGGAGGAACATGGGTCAATTCTGGAGTCTGGGGAGGGCTCAGACGAGGAATCTCCGTCTGACACAGAGATGGGGCCAGGGCTATCTAAGAGTTATGTGCTGATTCCGGAGCCTCCAGAATCTGACATCAGCGAGGCAGAGGAACAGGGGGAGCCTGTTCCCAGTGCACGCTTGTGCAGAGCTGCCAGAAGGCAAGAACAATTAAGACAAAAGAGGAGACTTGGGAGTAAAGCTTGGAGATGATTGGCCCCTCCCATAAGACATAAAGGAGGAGCAAAGGGACAGGAGCCTTTGCAGGAAGCAACTTTATTTGTTCTGGTCGGTTTAAACTCTGAAGCTCTGTGATGACTTTATGCTATGTTTGGCCTTGTACAGCTAATTGGCAATTTAGTTGTTGGCAGCATTTCAAGGGAGATAAAGGTGGGTGCTTATCAGCCTTATCCCCCCAAAAACTGTGGCAGACTTCTGTTGGACTATTCACAAACTGTTTTGGGATTCATTACGGGCTGTGAATGCATATCATTCACAGCCGTTGAAATAAAAACAAGGTTACTGTGTGATTGTTACTATCTCAGGAAGCCTTGATCAGAACACCCCTCTCCCGAGGAAGTCCACCTGGTGGGACTAAGAAGAAGGGCCTTCTCTGTGGTGGCTCCTTCCTTGTGGATCATGCCTGCAAAAATAAGATTGACCCCCACTTTGCAAGGCCCTGAAGAGCTGGTTTTGCCAGTGGGCCTGGTGAACCCAGAATTCGATGGAGCCCATCCAGTGGTTTGTTTGATGGATTGTTGGCGCCAGAGGTGATGGGATGGTTATCTTTTTTTTTTTAAAAATGAGATGTTTATCTTTGTAAGTCACCCAGAGTCACTGAGAGTGAGAGGGGCGGCCATATAGAACATAGAATAATAGAGTTGGAAGAGACCTTGGAGTCTTCTACTCCAACCCCGTTTTAGCAGGAAATCCTATACCAGCTTAGACAAATTTTTGAAAGCCTCTAGTGATAGAGCATTCACAACCTCTGAAGGCACTGGTTAATTGCTCTCACCATTAGGAAAGTTCTCCTTAGTTCTAGGTTGCTTCTCTCCTTGGTTAGAAAATATAAATTTTTTTAAAAAAAACTAAAATTACATAAATCTACATTTATATGGATTTAGTCTTCATTTGCTACTTCGTTGATGAAGCAATAACAGACTAAAGTCATAATCTTAGATACACATAAGAATATTTGTGGGAGAACAAAGGCCTACCAAGTTTCTTTCCCTCACTTTCTCTTTCAGAATTCTCTCTGCCACTGAATTCCTTGTATTTAAAAAAAAGAATAGCCACCCGTATTGTCTTGTTGTTCATTTCTCCTCCTTCCCTCTTTCAGTTATGAGCCCTACAACTGAGCACCGATGAATGAAGTTGATCTAAGGGCACTGCCTGAAAGGTTCATAACCAAACCACCCAGAGGTAGCTGAGACGGCAGAAGGCTCCAACTTGAATCTACAAAATCTACAGAAGCCTCCAACTCGAATCTTCAGTAGACTTGAAAAGTTCTTCAAAGGGCCGCATCTTTCGGAGGTGTCAACCCAGAGTTAGATATCCAATTCCATGTAGTGCAACTTCCCACCTTCGGTAAGGTAAGGCCCCACCCCCCCCAAAGGTGGGATGCCACCAGTGCTCACAGCCCTCCAGACTGAATTTTCTTGATCGGAGAGACGGTGTTTCTCAGGTGTTTCTCAATCAATCAAGAGAGAGTCTCGGAGAGGCGGGCATACAGCGTGGGTGGCGTGTACAGCCTATCTCCTCTGCCCTTCCGTGACACCCATGCATTCTCACATGTGGAAATGAGGAATAAGCACATGCAGTACCTGATGATTTCAGAGTCAGGGAGCAGGCCTATGTGGTAGTGGGGGTAGGGAGCTGAAAGAAGGAAGCTTTTGTCACACTCGACAGGGGAATAATGTCTAGGAGAAGGTGGCTTATCACAGTATTTGTTCACAGTGCTGTAAACGGGTTCAGGAGGCCTGGTGGTAACAGAGAGACGAAAAACAGAGATTAGGCTTCTTTCAACATGCATCGATTGCACAGCTAACTGTATTCGGAGGCATGCAAAGAAGGTCGACAAGAGAAAGGGTTAGATACACAGAACTCCTGCGAAGTGACGGCAATGCTAGTGACAACCATTGAGAGCGCAAAACGCACAGTACTGTACACGAGACAGCCAGAGGAAAGGAAACCAGTGACACAACGGTGGTTAGAACATTCAGGTTTTAGCTTGTCGGCTGGGCTCAGAGCTTCCTTCTTACCTTCCGGAACCCAAGAGAAGAAGGTTTATTCCCTAGCCCGAAATTTCTTTGCTTCACCAGTGCATTTAAACTGAAAAGTTAGACACAGAGCTTTAGCAGCCAAGGAAGAAAATTAGGAACACACCATGAGGGTCAACAGCACAGACTGGCGTTCGGTCATCCGCATTTCGGAAGGCTCTCAAGTGTACATTTTATGGGTGATGCACTCACAAGCTGTGGCCAACTGACACATATGCGAATCCATTCTCTACCGTGGCTCATGGTTTTGAGGAGAGTAAGGATACGTGAAGTCAAACAGGTCCAGAGCTGGCCTGTTAGACGGTAGACCGGGTCACTCAGGATAAACCCACAGTACAGTTGTAGAACAATTCTTCTCTAGAAAAGGAACAGGCTACGGTAGAACCAAAATATCATTTTCCAATGTTTAAAATGGATAAGGATCGAAATGAACAGCACAGAATGTCAACTCCTCTTCTGCAGGCAACAAAATTGAAATAGTATTAGACTTTTAAACTATTGCTTTTTAAAAATATCTTGGCTTTAGAAGGGGCCAGGTTCTAACATGGTATCTGAGAGCATAGTAGTGTCCATCTGCTTGGGACAGGAGTCATGATTTCAACCAGAAACTTAAAAGGTGAAGACCAGAATACTTATTACATTGGGTAATCAGATCTGGATGTAAACATCTGGATAGCTAGCTCCTCCAGTTTAATATCTATGTACATACATCACATCTACACACACACATATATAAAGGTGATACCAAGATGTGTACCTACATCCCTGGTCAACGAAGTGAGCTTTTGAAGTCTCATCCTAGTGTGTTTGTATCTGGACAGGGTGGGATAGACTCAGCATCCTAGCAACATTGAGCGGCTGTGGGTATTTGGACCCTTCTGAACTGAACATTTTCCATTCTTTCATTGGGACTTGTACACAATTTGAAGGTCTCCCTGGACTTGCAGCTTCTTCTTGAAGAGGAAGTGGTAGCTGGCATACAAAAGTGTTTGGATGGATTCATTCTCTATCCACAAACTGTTACTGGACTGGCAAGCACTCCAAAACAGAAATGGAGTACTTTAGAGTAGCACCTCAGATGTGGACTACTACAATGTGTTCTAGGTGGGCATTGTGGCCCACCAACGGCTGATGGACCTGGAAGCAGAGTCGGACAGCAAGGAGGTTGGGGAGGAACCTGGGCCAGTCTTGGAAGCTGAGGAAGGCTCGGACAAGGGCTCTGCATCAGAGGCAGAGAGGGGGCCAGGGCAGGCTGGCAGTCATCAGCTGCCTTCGGGCTCGGACAGCAGTGAGGCAGGGGAGCTTCTGGAACCGGTTCCTAGCCTGCGCATGTGCAGAGCTGCCAAAAGGAAGGAACAATTAAGAAATCAGGGTCGACGTGGGAGTAAGGCCACAGGTGGACAATGAATGGCCCCTCCCATCAGGATTAAAGGAGGAGCAAAAGGGAAGGGGGCTTTTGCAGGAAACAATTCACTCGTTCATTCGTTCATTCATTCCAGCCTCGTGAAGATTTGTCTGTGTAGCCCAGCCCTTCCCTGTCAGCACTGCGCATGGAAATATTTACCAAGCAGCTTTCCAGGATAGCTAAGGTCTGAGCCAATTAGTATACCTTTGCAAGACTGTTTGCTAAGCCATTGGCTGAATGTGAATGCACTAAATTCACATTAATTCACATAAAAGAGGTTTTGACGGGACTCGGAGTTGTCTTAGTGCTTTTGGGGGGAGCCCAGGATAGAACAGTAGGGCTGCCGTTGAAAACAGCTCAGAAGCTGTCACTGGTCCACAATGCTGAGGCATGGATGGTTGAACCTTTGTTTTCTGAGCTACACCGCTTACTATAGGCGGTCCAGGTGCAATTCAAGATCACCTATAAAATTCTCCATGGTATAGGACCTGGCTAACCACTATCCCTGTAGTGACTGCACTTGGACTTATATACAGCTTCCCAATGCTTTACAGCCCTCTCTAAGCGGTTTACAATGCTCTCCTTCATTTTCCAAGGTTCAAAGCACTTTTTGGAAATACAGGATTGAGAAACAGGGCTGGTTTTCCCCGGAGAGTTTGAATGAAAGTGCCAAGGACCTTTGGACCAAATGAAGTAACCTGGCATTTTAATTTTTTCTTTATAACTGAGGGAGTCTAAATTAGGCCAATCAGAAGAAATGCTTGGAAGTCTTTGGAGGATATACGCACTGGGGCTTACTTAGGTAGGTTTATTGTTTCAATAGTCTGCAGTAATAATCAGGATAGAAAGTTGTACAGGTTCGTTTTCATCGGTCAGGCGGACATTCAAACCTTTGTCCTATTTTGTTGAAAGCTCAGCAAATAACAGATCATTTACTCTTATCTTCTCATCATCAACAAAAACATTTTTTGTTATTCAACCTTCTTCAATCTAATGTCCCCTTTTGTTGTGGTGGTTTTTCTTCTTTTGCATATCAAACACACCCTTTGTAAATTTTAATTAAAGAGGATTCAAAATATTTACAAGACACTAAGTTGGGAAAAGCTGACATGAACGAAGCGGCCACTTTGGACAAACATATTGTCAAGCAACCAGAACCACTCATGAATAGGCCCAAGTAAGAGGTTTCATTGTTGATTAGCTATACAGATAGTCCTCAGCTTACAGCAATTTCTTTAGTGACCGTTCAAATTACAACGGCACTGAAAAAAAACTGACCTAGGACCGTTTTTCACAGTTACGACCTTTGCAGCATCCCCACGATTGTATGATCAAAATTCAGATGCTTGGCAATGGGTTCGTACTTATGACCGTTTCTATGTCCCAAGGTTGTGTGATCCCCTTTTCAACAAGCACAATTAATAGGGAGTCCAGATTCACTCAACAACGGGGTTACTAACTTATCAACTGCAGTGATTCACTTAACTATGGCAAGAAATGTCATAAAATGGGGCCAAACTCACTTAACAAATGTCTCACTGAATGATGGAGATGTTGGGCTCAATTGTGGTCGTAAGTCAAGGACTACCTCTATCATCATCATCATCTCCTTTTAATGACCCCATAATTCCTTGCGGGGTGGAGTCTGGACAACTGAATCGAGCTGAGTGTTTACTGGTCGGATGCCCTTCCTGTTGCCAATGCGGAGTTATATTCAGCAGTCTCACTTAACAACAGATAGGTTGGGCTCAATTGTGATTGTAAGTCGAGGGCTACCTGTATATTTGGAAGCAAGTCCAATTGTTGTGGCCTGTCAGCCCCTCCAGCATCCAAATCAGAGGGAGGAGGAGGAGACGTGGGAGTCAGGGTCAGCGTCAAGGCAACCTGGGAGCTCCGGGGGAGGAGAGGGAGTGGAGCGGTCAGAGAGAGACAGAGACAGAGACTGGCCTGTCCATCAGCCCTCAGATGTCAAGTCCAGGTCTGGTGGTGGCTGATGAGGAACAGCTGGGTCCAGTGCCTAACACATGCATGCGCAGAAGTCAGAGGAGAGGAGAGCAGTGGAAATCTATAGGCAGGTCCTTGGGACGGAAGAGCCACTGCTGCTTTCAAAGCCCCACCCTAGCTCTGGGGATAAAAGGCAGGGGGCGGAGATGAATAGGTGTGGCAGACAACTATTCACCTTCTGGTTGTCTGGACTCGTTAGCCTGCGGTGAGAGAGACAGAAAGACTTCTTGCTAGCGTTGTTGGTGCTCCTAATAAAAGAACAATTGATTTAACTACATGTTTGGAGCCAGGTGAGAACACTTATCCAATCCCAAGATATATTTATCTAGTATCGTAGCTTCCATCAAGAGGCTTGTTTTATAAGGAACATACATAGGCCTGGACAGTTATAGTAGAGGACGGGGAATTTCCTAGCCATGGCTCCTAATTGATCCATGTACATTTTTGCTGTTCTAAGAAAAGGTAAAGAGGTTCTCGAGTGAAGCTCAGCTGCTTGGACTACACAGGTACTTCCATACTGATTTGCCCTCTCCATAGGTATCTACCACGGGGAGGAAGGGGAGTGGCCAAAGGACCAAAGAAGCACGGTCACCTTGCAATGCAAACTCCGCCCTTTTGGCGCATGCATTTGTGCCAACTCATGCACATACGTGAGGCAGAGTTCGCGTAGTGATGCCAATGATCAGAGTAACAGATCCACCGAGTTGGAGGGGACCTTGGTGGTCATTGAGTCCAACCCCCTTCTCAAGTAGAAGACCTTATACCAAGTGGTTGGTCAATCTCATCTTAGAAACCTCAAGCACCCACGTCTTCTGAAGGCAAGCCATTACAAGCCAAGATTAATTGTTCTAACTGCCAGGAAATGTCTCCTTATTTCTACATTGGTCCTCTCATTAGTTGCCATCCGTTGTTTCTCGTTCCATCTTCAGGTGCTTTGGATTTGCTCTTCTTTCTGGCAGCCTCTTACATATTGGAAGACTGCTGTCATGTCGCCCCTAGTCCTTCTTTTCTTTAATTAAACTAGACAGACCCAATTCCAGCCACCATTTTAGTGTCCAGTCCCCTAATCATCCTGGGTTGCTCTTCTCTGCACTCTTTCTAGACTCTCAACATCTTTTTTCATAACATGGTGACCAAAATGGGATGCGGTATTCCAAGTGTGATTTTAGCAAGGCATTATAAAGTGACGCTAATACATCACATGATCTTGATTCTATTCCTCTTTTAAGGCAGCCTAGGACTGTGTTGGCTTTTTTGGCGGCTGCTGGCTCATAAATTTTGTCACTGACAA